GCGTTCACGAGGGTCCTCCCGCAAACGCGAAGAAGAAAGTATTAGCACACCATAAACTGAAAAAACCTACAATTTTTGAGTTCCAAAAACCTTCTAAAACCAATCTGAAACACACTCGAGCCCTCGAGGCTCAAAATCAAACATATGTACTAACTCAATAACATCATACGGACTTATCCGTACGATCAAATCACCAAAATAACCTCAATAACAACGAATTAAACCTCAAAATCAATGAAATATTTCAAAACTTCTTAAAGCATCAAACTTTGCATTTAAGGTCCGAATCACGTCAAACGGATTCTGTTTCTTACCAAACTTCATAGAGTTATCTTAGACCACATATAAGACATGTACCGGGCACCAGAACCAAAACACGGGCCCGATACCAACATGTTCTAATAAAAATTTATTTCAAATTCCTTTAAACAATTTTAGAAAATAATTTTTCTTTAAAAATTTATTTCTTGGGTTTGGGACCTCGGAATTCGATTCTGAGCATACGCCCAAGTCCCATATTTTCTTCCGGACCCTCCGGGATTGTCAAATCACGGGTTCGGATCAGTTTACCCAAAACGTTGACCAAAGTCAAATTTATTCATTTTATAGTCAAAATTTATCATTTTTCACAGATTTTCACATATAATCTTACCGGTTACGTACTCGGACTGCGCACACAAATTGAGGTGATGCTAAATGAGGTTTTCAAGGCCTCAGAAACACAGAATTCAATTTAAAAGCAAGTGATGAGCCTTTTGGGTCATCACACCAGGTCCTTAGTTGAGCTTGATCAACCCCAACTCCAGACGATTTCTTTCAAAATGTTCCTTGCTCAGTGCCTTGGTGAAGATGTTTGCTGCCTGGTCCTCCGTCTTCCAGAACTTCATACAAATCGGAACCTTTTCAATATTATCCCTCAAGGAGTGATGTTGCACATGAATGTGCTTTGTCCTCTTGTGTTGTACCAGGTTCAAGCTATAAATACACCAAAGTCTTCAAGATGTTGCTTGATCTATAGTGATTGAGCACAGCACGAGGCAACTGCAACATATTCTGCTTCAACTATTGATAGAGCTACGGAGTTTTGTTTCCTTGTACCCCATGAGATAAAACATGATCTAAGGAAATTAGCCATTCTAGCTGTGCTTTTCCTGTCCACCAGATAGCCTGCATAATCAGTGTCAGCATAACCAATAAGGTTGAAATTGTCACCTGAAGGATAGTATAGAACCAGGTTCTATGTCCCCTTAAAATATCTCAGAATTCTCTTAGCAACTTTCAGATGAGATTCCTTAGAATTTGATTGGAACCTTGCACATATCCCACACTAAATACAATGTTTGACCTGTTGGCAGTAAGGTAGAGTAGAGATCCAATGATTCCCCTTTGATGCTTCCATATTAAACCTTTTCAAGAGTTCTTTGATACATTTCTGCTGACTGATACACGTTCCCTTTATGGACTACTTCACTTGAAGACCCAGGAAGACATTCAGTTCCCTCATCATACTCATTTCAAACTCACTTCCCATTAGTTTAGCAAATTCTTCACATAATGAGTCAGTTATAGCTCCAAATTTGATGTCATCCACATAAATCTAAACAATGAGCAGGTTCCTTCCCCTTTTCTTCAAAGATAATGTATTGACAATCTTTCCTCTTGTGAAGCCATTTTCTAAGAGAAACTTGGATAGTCTCTCGTACCAGCTCTAGGGGCCTGATTCAATCTGTACAGTGCCTTATCCAATTTGAATACATGTTCAAGATGTACATGACGTTCAAAAGCCTGGAGATAACTTGATATAGACTTCTTCCTTGAGAGAATCATTTAGGAAGACACTCTTCACATCCATTTGGAATAGGGTGAATTCCATATGTGAAGCAAAGGAAATGAGGATCCTAGTAGCTTCCATGCGAGCTACTGGGGAAAAAGTCTCGTCATAATCGATCCATTCCCCCTGATTGTATACTTGGACAACAAGACTTGCTTTGTTCCTTGTAGTATTTCCATGTTCATCCAGCTTATTCCTGAATACCCACCTGGTCCCTATGATGGTTCTGTCTAAGGGTCTAGGTACCAGGTGCCATACCTTGTTTCTTTTAAATTGATGTAGTTCCTCTTGCATCGCAATGTATTTCCCTGCACTCCTTGATCTGTTACTTGTGGAGTGCCTTGCACTGCATCTCCAACTCTTTCTTCAGCTTCAGTGGTAGTAATTAGGGTACCAGGTTCCTCTTGAGAAGTGGAAGAGGATGTGACATTGTCTTCACTTGCCTCCTTCATCTGGCTCATCATATCAGCCTTGCCATTTGAAACATTAGATATTTCCCTTAGTACATGCATCACACACTCTGTGTTTCTTGAAATTTGACTTGAACATGCCACGAATTAGGTCCTTCTTGACTAATTTGTTCAGTAGCGTGAAACTTGCATGACCCAGCCTTTTGTGCCATAGCTGAGCATTATCATTAACAGCACTCAGACAGCTAAGATCTCCTTGTCACAAATTTGGGAAAAACCCAGCAAGATATACTTCAACCTCTTCACAAAGTACGCATGTTCAATAAAGTGGAAAAGAGACTTCCCTATCCTTCCACCTCCTAGAATGTATCCCTTCTTGCCATTTTCAAAGGATATACTCCCTCCTTGCAGGGCCTTCAGTGAAAGAAAATCATTTGTACTTCCAGTCATGAGTTTCGAGCAGTCCCTATCCATGTACCATTATTGACTGCTCCCTTTCACTGTTCCATGTATATTAAATCAATGATTAGACTTAGGAACCCAAGCCAGCTTGGGTCCTTGTAATGATAGAACGAGCGGATCAAACTTCTTTTTGCCCATGCAGCCAACACATATTTTCTTTTCAAGGAACCAGGTTCCTCATCAGTATGCCTCTTTTCAATAAAAACTTTGTTTTTCTATAAAGACTTAATTTTAACTTCACACGAGTCCTTGTAATGACCAGTTTGACCATATTGAGAGCACAACCTATTATCAGCCACAGTTACATACTTCCTCTGGGGATTATAGGAGGTTTTAGCCTTTTGGAACCCGATGCCTTGCCTATTTCCACCATTACTCCTGTACATAGACGTTATTACATCAGAAGACCGGGTCCATTTAAGTGACTTATCAATATTATTTTTAGCCCTTTTTAAATCCTCCTGAAGTTGTCTATTCTTTTCAAGCTCAGCAACAAGATTTGTTTTAACTTTCTTAAGCTCACTCTCAAGCTCAAGTTGAGCCTTACTAGCCACTTCCTCTCTCTCAGTGTTGTCCATCCATTTTTTTGTTTGTTTTTTCAACAAGTTATGTTTTCTAGTTACTTCTTCCACTTGTTCCCTTAAATCTACAATGGAAACTACCATATCATCCCTTTATTGCTTAGTAGCTACAATTTTCTCTACTAGAATATTCTTTTCTTTGCTTAGGTTCTCTATGGTTTCCTTCAAGTCAACAACCACTACCATCAAATCATCTCTAGATTGTTTAGCATCTCCTAGATCTATGATTAGGGAATCTTTATCATTAACAAAACTATAATATGTATCAATTAGAACATTTGCTAATGCCATCAATTTCTTCGAAGAGTAGGACTTTAGATTTTTCTGAACATCAATGAAATTTACCTCATCATTGTCATCCTCATCGGACTGAGCTATCAACGCAAATAACGAAGCATATTCCTTTGCTTCATTTTCCACTGTCATCATGGAGCTCCTTCATGTATCTGGTTCCTCTTCTGATTCGCTGGAGGAGTCTCCCCATGCAGCAAGAGCTTACTTCACAAGCACTTTTTTGCCTGAATTGTTTATTAAGAACCGGGTTCCTTTTTGCTACTTTATCAGAGTTGTGTTTGTAATGCTCTTGTTTCAGAAGTGGGCACTCTTTGATGAAATGCCCTGGTTTTCTGCACTTGTGACAACAGACATTTCCTTTGAAATTCTTGCTGGAACTTCCTTTCTTTGTGATCCCACCATTTTTATGACCCACCTTCTGAAATCTTTGTGGTTTATTGGTTGATTGACTTTCGTCGAAGTTTGGTGGAGCAGCCATGTAGATCCTTTATAGGTATTAACCTTTTAGAAAGAACCTGCTCTGATACAAATTGTTAGAAACTAAGCGTCCACCAGACTATATAAAGAACCGGGTTCTCTATGAGTTTCCACTGAAAATACTGATTAACCAAACTGTATAGCGATCTGGTCCTATATCAGTTTCCATAGTGCTAACTACTAAACCAATATGTAAATTAGACACAAGATAAGTTCCTACTGTATAGAGAATCAGGTTCTCTAATTGTTCCCATAGTAGCTCGGTAGTAGATAAAGAACACAGAAGATTTTTACTTGAAAAAACCCCGACTCAAGGGGACAAAAACCATGACCTACACTTGTAGGATTTCAACTTCACTAACTTCTAAACACCTATTACAAGCCACTTTGTAATGACTCTATTACAAAGAATTCAACTCAAATAACTTGTGGTACTCTTACCACAAGCCACTTTGTGACTCCCTAGTTACAAAAACTTTAACTAACTTGTGATGCTCTCACCACAAGCCACTTTGTCACTCTATAGTTACAAAGGCTTTTACTTACTCTAACTTGTAATTACACTATTACAAGCCACTTTGTAACTCTCTAGTTACAAAGACTTTAACTTATGACTACACCTAGTTATAACATAAACTGGAGAGTTTACGAATTTTGGGTTTCCTAAAAATAGCTTCTAAGAAAGCAAGATAGGAGTTACAATGAAGAACATATAACAAAGTCTCAACAAACCTAAGGACTTAAGATATCTTCAATCTTGGATCCGGTCCTTGAGGTTGCAGGAGCTTTGTTCTTGAGAGAGGTGTTTGCTGGCACTTGAGAGAATATTTCCTTTTCTGATTTTTCAAGTGTTGAGAAGAATGTCTTGTGCCTTGCACCAGGTTTATACTACAAAAGACATCACCTTAGTGATGTCAAATCTTGGTTAGTACATGCCTCTTCTCAATGGGAAGTGACTGTTGCACTGTCTGCTACACTGTTGCGTGTAAAGTTGCAGGTAGTCACTTTCTGCAGTTGCTTTCCAACTATACAGTTGACTTATACTTCTGTCAGGGGAACACCAAGGGATCAGGTCCCTAATCTGGTTCTTGTGAATCTAAGGGTACACTGCCCAGATTACCTTGAGTCGATTAACTTGAATGATTGTACAAGGCATGCTTTAGGTCCTACATCTGGTTCTCTCATGAAGTAAGTTATTTTACCTTCCTTGATTATATTTATACATGTGTGACATCACTTACAATGATGTAAGCAATGTAGGTAAAAAGGCTTCCACAGAAAGTTGACTTATTGCACTGTTCCTGTACAATAGCGTGTGCATGCAACAACTTTCCTGCTGGAGAGTTGACTTCATACAGTCTCCTCAGGAACTGGTAGGGACCTGTTCCCTCAGCTGTTCCTTCCACACTTCCTCACTTGAGTCATTGTTATCAGCTTTGAGTACCAGGTTCTTTTCTTTCTTTGGTTCTCTTCTTTCACTGTCTATCTTCCTCTTCATGTCGTAGGTCTTCAGATTTCCAACCAGCTATTCTATGGTCAGCTCCTACAAGTCCTTTGATTCAGTAATAACATTCACCTTGCTTTTCCAAGGGCTGGATCCCAACCTAGAACTTTGTAATCTCAAGGTCTTGTAAATGTATAACAGGTTCCTTATCTGGTTATGGATGGTAAGTTCGTTAGATCATCAAAACATAAAGTAAAGTACTTATGCCCAAGGTACTTGTAACCTATCATTTTATCCATTCATGTCTGCAGCTACTTCATAATTTCTTCTGTGATAAATACTATTCCTTTTATCACTCTGGTCGATAAGAGGTTACCTTCTCTGCAATTTAGTAATTTTGTCCAACAAAAGTTATTTTATTATCTTTTAGAACATTAACAAATATACATATATAAGAATATAAACATTTGATTATTAAAAAAATATCTCAAAATTTGAACATTAAACAATTAAGATTTTATTTTCTTAAGAGCTCAGTGTGTGTGTGTGTGTTTATTCTTTTTTGGCTATTATTAGTAGTTGCTTGTATGGTGATGAATTAAATGGAAAAAATAATACCAAAAAATAAATCCAATAAAGATAAGAGGGTAGCTAATTGTATTCATTTGAAGGTTGTATTTAGATTGCGTTTGGTAAGGATAGATGCTTTTGGTGATATTTTGTATGTGTTGATTGAAAAAGCTTTCAGGTATTTAAAAAAATGGCTTCTTACAATAAATAATTGAAGTTAGTTTAGCCTTTTAGACTTTAGAGTGGACTATATTTTCCTTGTTTCTAAATTATGAATTAGCCACAAGAAGAGAAAGATTACCATATGTGCATGACAACTCCATAGTTTTATTCTTTTTGAATTCTTTAACTTTTTTATATGTTGAAATAGTTTAAATAATTGTTAGCTGCGACTATTTTGTTTGTTGAGAAATCATTAATTAATTTGAATTATATGAACATTTAAGAAGCTATTCAAATTTAATTAGTATATTTAAAGACTTATATTATTTAGAATAGGGATTAATGTGAGATTTTGAGTGTTAAATAACTAGTTTAAATAAATCAATTTACTTTAAATATCTCATTTATAGATTTCTATTTGTGTAGATGGAATTTGTGCATCATAGATGGATGTATAATAGGAATCATCCTAATCGTGCGGGGTTGAGGGATGAAACCCCATCAGGGGTTGCTGAATTTATTGTTAAGGCTCAAACACTTGATGATTTTCTTATTGGAGGAAGGATTAGGTGTCCTTGTGTGAAATATAAATGTTTTAAGTTATTGAAATCATACGAAGTTAAAGTCCATCTCTACAAGAAAGGGTTTGTAGAAAATTATCATATATGGACTGCTCATAGGGAGAATCATGCTAGTTTAGATGATGCTAACTTTCATAATTCTTTTGGTGGTGAGGGTAACCCCATTGCGGAGCATAATGTTGAAAATTCTCGATACAATAAAATGATAAGGGATGCTTTTGGGATGTTTTATGGGGTTCAATCCGAACCAAATGATGAGGCTAAGCATTTCTATGAACAATTACTAGAAGCTAATCGTCCATTGTATGAAGGCTCGGTACATTCCAAGTTGTCTATTGCGGTTAGATTGCTAAGTATTAAATCAGATAGTTCTATTTTCCAAGCGGTCATGGATTCTATTATTGGGCTTATGAATGAACTTAATCCGAGTAACATTGACTTACCAAAAGATTTCTACACTGCTAAAAAATTAGTTTCTAAGTTGGGTCTTTCATCAGAGAGAATTGATTGTTGTGAGAAAGGTTGCATGTTATTTTATAAGGATGACACATCTCTAGAGAACTGTAAATTTTGTAATCAACCTCGTTTTAAGGAAGTCACTAATGCCAATACAAAAAAGAAAGTTCCAGTTAAAGTGATGCATTACTTACCTCTTATATCTAGGTTAAAGAGGTTGTATGCATCAATGAGCTCTACTCCTCATATAAGATGGCACTACGAACATAGAAGGCCACCTGGTATACTCTGACATCCGTCAGATGGAGAAGCGTGGAAGCATTTTGATAGGGTGTTCCCCGAGTTTGCCAGTAAACCAAGAAACATTAGGTTGAGATTATACGTAGATGGATTTACTCCATTTGCAGTCTCTGCTGCACCATATTCATGTTGGCCAGTGTTCGTTACTCCGTATAATCTTCCGCCTGAGTTGTGTATGACAAGTCCATATCTGTTCCTAACTTGTATTGTTCCAGGTCCACACAATCCGAAAAGTTTGATTGATGTATACTTGCAGCCTTTGATTGATGAGTTACAATTATTACGACATCAAGGTGTGGAAACATATGATATATCAACCAAACAAAACTTCAGATTGCATGCTGCTTTGATGTGGACTATAAATAATTTTCCTGCTTATGGAATGTTGTCCGGGTGGTCGACTGCTGGAAAGTTAACTTGCCCTTGTTGTACGGAAGACACTAAAGCATTTACTTTGAAATATGGAGGTAAAAATACATGGTTCGACTGCCACCGTATATTCTTGCCAATGAATCATGAATTTAGGCGAAATACAAGTGCATTTATGAAGAACCGAACTGATTTTGAGGAGCCACCTGCCTGCTTGTGTTCAGAAGAAATTTGGAACAGAGTAAAGGATATGCCTAAAGTAACAGAGTCTACACTATCTAAGATACCAGGTTATGGTGTCACACACAACTGGACTAAACAGAGCATATTTTGGGAATTACCTTATTGGAAGCACAATCTTCTTCGGCATAATCTAGACGTCATGCATATCGAGAAGAATTTTTTTGACAACTTGTTTAACACTATTATGGATGTTACTAACAAGACCAAAGATAACTTGAAGGCCAGGATGGACTTAAAGGAATATTGTAGGCGAAGTGAGTTGTATCTGACATACTTTAACAAAAAGATTCAGAAGCCCAAAGCCAGTTACACGTTCACCTTGGATGAGAGAAGAAAGATTTATAGTTGGGTTAACAATTTGAGGATGCCTGATGGGTAAGCATTAAATTTATCCAGGTGTGTTGACATGAAAGAAAGGAAGTTGGCGTCAATGAAAAGCCATGATTGTCATATTTTCATGGAAGCGTTGATTCCTATTGCGTTCAATGCATTGCCTGATTGAATATGGAAACCGATTACAGAGGTAAGTTGTTTTTTCAAGTATTTGTGTTCTAGCACATTGAGGGTGGAGAACTTAATTTATATGGAGAGTAACATTATCTTAACTTTAAACAAGCTGGCAAAAATTTTCCCTCTTGGTTTTTTTTATGTAATGGAACATCTTCCAATTCACCTTGAACAAGAGGCACGACTTGGAGGGCCAGTTCAATGTAGATGGATGTATCCCTTCGAGAGGTAATGAAATTTAATCATTTACCTTTTGTATTTTCTTTAAAAATTGGTTGGTCTAAAAACAACGCTATGCAGGACTATTGGCAAATGTAAACGGACCATAAAAAATAGATCAAGAATTGAAGGTTCGATATGCGAGGCATATATGGCTAAAGAAACATCTTATTTATGTTCATACTATTTTGAACATGATGTGCCATGTTTGAGAAATAGACCGAATCGGCATGACGATGGAGGCGAAATCGATCCTTTGGCACCATCATTTTCCATTTTTAATCAACCAGGTAAAGGAGGTCCAAACAATAGACCAAAGCGAAGGTTGTCTAAGATGGAGCTAAAGTAAGCTACAACTATGGCTGTCCAACGGGACGGGATGGGACGGTACGGGACCAAATTAAGGGGATGGGACGACATTTAAGCGGGATGGAGGCAGGACGGGACGAAATGTTCGTCCCATCCCGTCCCGCTAACAAACGGGATGGGACGGGACGGGACGGGTTCGTGGGCCTTAAGAGTATTTTTTTTTTTAAAAAAAACGTCTAGTTTTTTTAAATTTACTATGCTTTTAAAGTTTGCAACGGCTAGATTTTTGACTTATTTAATAAACTTAAATGTTACTATGTTAAAATGAAAATTAGAAAACTAAGTAAAGAATTATAAAATATTAAAACAAAAGACTTGTAATGAAATATTCTAGTAATTATAAATTTATAATAGAGTAATAATTTATTTAATATAATTTCAAAGTATTAACTATTAAGTAACTAAGACAATTCATAAATAAAATTCAACGCTTAGAGCCTTTTATTTTATTAAAAGAACTTTCAAATCTCAAATACAAATATAATTCTTTTGAAGAGCACCTAATCTACGCAGCCACCTTCTAGAAAGGGTTCTGTTTGAACTAGCCTCTTAGTAGCCAATTACAAATTATCATACTAATATTTGTAAGCTCCTATATATCTTCTTTGTAACTTATCAATAACATCTCTCGGACATTATGCTGGAATTGGCAATGTTGATTGATGTTCCATGAGCTCCATGTCATCATCGCTCCCAGTGGTTAGTATCTCATTGTATTCTTCTTCTTCCCTAGTGGTTAAATTTTCAAAACCAAGATTTCTTCTTTCTGCATTAATCCAATCTCTGAATAATACGGAAATCTCTAGATTGTCCTCCGCTAATGAATGTCTATGATCTCCAATTTGAAATCTTGCCGCGCTAAAAGCACTCTCCGATGATACTGATGATGCTTGAATAGCCAAGATATCTCGGACCATAATTGAAAGGGTTGGAAAAGCCTTGTCACGCTCCCTCCACCATGACAAAAGTTGTTCCTTGCCTTCTTCGTCTTTAATATTTTCCAATCCTTGATTAAGATAAGAATCAAGTTCATCATCAATAGAGGAATCAAAACCTGCTATATCATTCATATCTTTCCATAAAACTTCTGCTCTAGACTTAGAAGTAGAAGGAGCAATTTCACAACCAGTTGTATCCATAGATTTATATTTATCAAACATTGATCTAGCATAAGAATATATGCTAGCTTGGCAGTTTTCGAGAGATGGTTGTTCATTTTCTTGAATTTCTATATTCTCATAAATTTTACGAACAAGTCCCTTTGCACCTTTAATTTTAAAGATGGGTTAAGTAGAGTAGAAATTAAGTAAACTTCGGGAATAGGGAAAAAATACTTTTTAAATTTTAAAATCATTTCTTTAATGGCCGGTACATAAGTTGGATTTGTTTTATACTTACTAAATACAACAGAAATTCCACAAATATACCATAATATTTGTGTAACAGTAGGATAATATATACCAAAAAATTGTTTTGTAGCATAATAAAAAAAAATTAAAATTTAGTAAACTCTCTGATCTCATCCCAATCAGAATCAACAATTTGATCAATAGGGTGAGCATTATGCATATTAAATACTTTTTAGATAGGCACCTGATAATCATAAGCAACTTTAAGCATATCATAAGTAAAATTCCACCTAGTACAAACATCTTTTGGAACTTTTATAATGGAAGGTTAGCACTAGCACATTGTTGAGCAAATTCATGAATTCTACTTTGTTTATGAGCA